CCGCAGAATTCAATTATGCTAACCAGAAAAAAGGAGTCCTGCATTCCAATTTCTAAAATTCATTTTGAAGAAATAATATTTCTTTTCTAAGTTCAGTAAAAAATTTAGCTGAAGATGTTTCCTAAAATATCATTAGCACTAATACCTTTCCTTGATATTCAATGGAGAGTCCATTTGCCTGAAGATTTTCAATCAGAGTAAATTTACATTATTAAAGAATGAGCAGAGTAAAAGTTTATTAAATACCAATTAGGAATCAGTAAGACTGTCATCATCATATATTTATCAGATATATTAGTTGATATTAGGAAACAATTATATATTAAAATATCAAACATTTTTCGAAAAGTCCCCATATAATTTTTTTTCTTATATTAAAGCATAAAAATTAATGAAATATGAATGTGATGTTTGCATTAATGACCATTAAAATTAGTGATAACTTTTACTGATAATAATGTTAGTTTTGCGGCTTATGCATCCAATAACTTTACAAGAGAATATATTAGCGGCACAAACGAAAAGAAGCGGCATTGTTTGTCCTTTTTCCCATAATGTGAACAATGTTATTTGTTCGGATAGTAAGAATACACGTGGAGAAATCTGCCAAATTTCTATTTTTTGTTTTCTGTCTTATCAGTAGCATAAACAAAAAGGAATGATGAAAAATGATAGCATCAAAGATAGACAACTGACTCACTCATTTCTACATCAGACTATCATTAATTAATCATATAGTTTCATGATATTTCGTTTAAAAAAGGTGCAATCAAACTGCGGCATTACAATCGATGGAAGAGTACATAAAAGGTCAAGCTTGCGCTCTATTTGCTTGAACTTAAGTCTGAACTCTTATAATAATCTTTTCAAGCCTCTTAAAAGATTTGAAAAGATTATTATTTTTTTAAGTCTTTAAGAGACTTGAAAAGAAATATTCTTCATCTAAACAATAGATAGAAAAGAGTAACAATAATTTGGAATTGAATTCAATTTTAGCAAAATTCTTAATGAGTTTTAAATTTAAACATAATGCGATGTTATTTTATACAAAGATCACAGCTTTAATGTTAAGACTGTTAATTTTCTTATAAAATGTTCCTGTTACTGTGTCGAAGCAATCATTTCAGTGTTTTCTGTTTAATACTGTGAAATCGTTAATTTACTGCTGTTGGAAAAAAATTTTAAAGAATGGAAAATTATTTACTAACTAACTTATTTAAATGTATGAAGGACAAGTGAGCGTCTGAATAATTTGCGATAAGTAATGATAAGAAAATATTTAAAATTAAATATGCTTTATCAGTGAAAAACATATGATACGATGATGTGATAATACATCCGATGGAACACAACATTGCTTATAATTTTGAAAAGCTTATTAAAACAAAATTATCTTTACGATGATGCTAACATGAATCATAATCAATTGTTGCTATATTCTTGAAAATATCAGTTGTAAAATAGCTTTTGTACTATGATCGTTCTTCAAAAAATCAATTATTATTTTTAAATTATTTGTTGCGAATTTCTTCTTACAATTATTGAAATGAAAAAAAATTGATCAATAAAATAATAACTGATAATTTTCTCACGAGTAATATTTAATATTCGTGTATTATTTAATAAACTATTGTTTTTAAATTTAGCCATCACATTTTTAGATTTCGAATATGTTTGTAAGTGTCATTTGAACGCAATAGTTGCTGTTGAGCTTGATGAATGCAATAGCACAAACAGCCGTTGATCTTGTTAACACCTGACTAATTGCCCAAAGGACTGTATTTTCGTCGCTATCCTTTGATGTGATTCCAAAATCATTGCTGCAAAAGTTTATGGTAAAGAGATATCATCAAAGCCGAAGATCTATAACGATGAGTAAGCATTTTTCTATAATTATGGGTGGTATAATAACTCTTTTTTCCTCTCTCTCTCTCTCTTCCCCCTCCCTAACTCTGTTTCCCTTCCTCTCTTTCTCTCTCTCTTTAAAAGTTTCGTTTTGTAAATTAACAACGATTATTGTCTATGTCGGTGCCTATGTATTTTGCTGTTTGTATATGTTGTTAACAATGATTTATGTATAGCATATGAATAAATAATTTTATGGGAGTGAGACAAAAGAATTAACAAAAATTAAACAAATCCCGAAAAGAGAAGCATGGATGAATGAAGTTTATATTCCGGTTTGACTGGTAGTATCAGTACTATCGTAATAATACTGTCAAATATCATCTTTAATTGATCACACTTTAACAGGATTTGAAATTTTATTCATTTTCATGATGACATTTGAACATTTAGCACAAAAAAGATGAATAGTTTTCAAAAAGAAATTGCAAATTTACAAAAATAAAGTAAAATTCTTTACTATTGCACATTTTATTTAGGAAAATGTAATTGCATAAATGTACATATTGAATGTAAAAAATAGATATTATCATTCTGTATTGAAAATTGGAAGCATCCATCGAAGTGATCGTAATTTCAGGAAGAATGAATTATGCAAAATTAAATTTTCTTTCAAGAAAACCGACAACATTTGATTTTCAATTTTTGACTCAATTAAAAGATTAGAAAAGATTTTTTAACAGGGAAGAAGATTTTTGATGATAATTTGATTTCACATTCCGTTAAGATCTAAATGTTCTAACATTCGGTTTTTTCCGGAAATATTTATCTTTTCATTCTTTCTGGAAGAATTCATTAAAAATGATTGAATTATAGGGAGATTTGAAAATATTTCCAATGGTATTGCCTGTAAAAAGAAAAATAAAAAGTGACTTTACAGATCAAATTTTGAGTAGCAAAAATAGAAAAAGTTTTGCTTCCCTCTAGGAAGTAGTACACATCAATAGGGGAGGTCGGAGATTTGAAATATAATTCAATAAGTGTCTTATAAGTGGATAAAATGAGTTACTTGAAGTTATATGATTGTTTTATTACTTTTGGTTTAGTACAAATACTTTAGTTTTGTGAACGATTATTTGACAAATTAATTAAGAATTTGTGTAAATTTTTGACTGATTGAGGAATGGTTCTTTAAGGAGAGATAGAGAAGTAAACAATTTTTGTTATTGTGTCACATCAAATTAATAACAACTGTTGATCGTCGTTTCACAAGTATTAATTCTTCTACCCATCAATTGGAGTTACTGCGTATCTAACCTTCGCTTTAAAAACAGGTTTCAATCTTAGACCATTTCTTTGAGTCAGAAAGAAAAGGCTTTTTAATTAAATTCTTAAGAATTCTCGAAATTTTAAATTAATTATCCCAAAAATTTTTCCTGTCAGTTGTTAACATTTGATAGCTATAAGTAAACGTTTACATTACATCTCTTCAACTTTTCAGCTTTGTTGTAAAATTATAATACGTTATTGTTCTGTTTGTTAAGATAGACAAAATTATCACCTATATATTGGTATATTTCTTGCAGCTGTTTTTCTAGCAATTTTTTAATTAAATAAGAGATGAATTTAAAAGATGGTGTAAGTTCTGGAAGTATTTTCATAGCTACTATTCTTCTGAAAATCAAAATATCTAGAAAATAATTGTTTGCATTTTGCTATCAAAACAAATAAGCAATGTTTCTTATGACTTTCAACAAATTTACCCAGGCACTAAGATGATCAATGACCTGAAGCTGTTCAATTCTAAGCTTTAGTCTGACGCACAACTGATTCTTCAAGAGATGATAGATCGTAATTTATTAGAGAAAAGGAAAAAATGTGAAAGAAGAGGTTCTATGAGGAAGGATGATAATGATTGGCAGTTGGGATGAAATCACTTGAAAATTGGAATGTACTGGGAGGTATATCATTGCCGTTGGATAATGCAACTCTTTAAACAGCTTGAAGACATTCTCTTCAAGGACGATTGATTTTTCAGATAAAGAAACGATAATTCCATCAAATTTGCATTTGTGACAACAATCTAACCTTTTCTTTGTGACGTGTGACTTTTTTTACGCAAGTATGTAACATTGATTCTAAAATTTATCACCTTTATTAGATAGAATAGGTACAATTATTAGCACTTAAACAGTAAGTAAACAAATTAACAATTAAATAAACAAGTGAACAAGAAAAAGAACGAATGAATAAATAATAAAAGCATAAAATAACTTTTTATCATACATTTACATTAATATATTTGAATTGCTTTTTCATATTAATTGGTGATATATAAAGGAAATTTAAATTTGTGTTGATTTTTTTTGCATTGAAATGTCTGCAATAATAAAATTAAATAATCTCACACGAAGTTAAGAGAAAGAATAACATTGTGACAGAAAGAATAACATTATGACAGTGACATGTGACGCATTTTCATCATTTCTTGACATTATCTTCAAATGTTGACGGAGTTTGGTTATCTATCCAAAATATTTGAACAAAAAAGTGAGAGAAGAGAAGAAAAGGGAAAGGGGGAGAAAATTGGTTATCTTCGGCGAGAGATATCAAATATGACATTTCGCTGTTCATACTGCGATAAGATTGACGGATAATTTTCAAACTCATATTTGAATCTAACTGATAAAGGATGATTTAGGTGCAATCAGTCTTCTATAAATGCTGATAAATTGATCACTAATATTAGTGTTACACACACACCCACACACACACATACATACATGCATACATACGTATATACATAACACACACAAATGTTTGGTAGCAATTTTTATTATACATGCGCTTTTATTAAATTTAACGATGAACTTCACGAAAACAAATGAGGTTTCTATAAATATAAAAATTTAAAAGATATCATATACTAATCCGAATTATTTTACATAAATATCTGACTACTGACCACAGGATCATTAGATTAATCAAACTAAAAATGAGCAATAATAAGTGAACAATAGAGATTTTACATCAGTGTAAAGAACAAAAGCCCTGGTGAAGTATACAATTGATGAGATACATTTAACAAAAACTGATCGTGAATTTATCATACATACATGTGTCGATATATCAATGTTGCTCTGTCTTATTTCGTCTCACTTGTAAGTTGCAGCGCTACTGTTGCTCTGAGATGAAGCTGTAACTTTTGCAGCTATTGTGGCAAGCAATTTCTGATGATCGGTAGTTGGTGATATACCCGTGGGAATGCATGGAAAAGGTGAAGTTGTATGGGTAGCTGACGATACTATTAATGTTCGTGGATTAGCAACTGGAATTTGAGGCGAAAAACCTTCAGATAAACGAGGCACGAGTGGTGGAAATGGCAATGATGGAGCCGGTCTGATAGGTGTTAGTCGCGGAAGCGGTGAGACACCATGAGTCCCGAGAAATGTGGGAGGTAGGAAGGGTGGTCCTGGGGGTAAAAACGGTGCTCCCGGATAAGCAACTGATTGATAATCTGGTTCTGGTTGCTGACGCTTGAATCTGAAATCTTCCTATTTAAATTTATTCAAGTATGAAAAATCAAACAAGAAACTATAGGTATATGCAAAACTTTGTCTATGGTTAATTTATTGCTTTAAGAATTCGAAATTTTAGTTCGTGCAAAATTCTTTCAATTGACCGCCTCCATAGTTTATTTGCTAAATCACGGAACGGCATCCAGCTGTTGGCAACTAATTAACGCTATATGTTGTTCAACTTGTAGAAAGCATCGAAACCATTCTGTTTAAAATAGCATCATTTTTATACCGTAATCCTCAACTAATCATTCTTTCACCCATAATAAAAATCAAATCATTGCTTTCAAAATGCTATATAATGGATGTGAAAGACCTTTTGCGGCGCCTCAAGAATGACCCATTATCGAACATATCTTCAGCTTTCGGATCTAATGCCCAATAATTCCCTTTCCCGGGATTTCCTGGCTCTCGTGGAATTTTGACGAAGCAATCATTTAGACTCAGATTATGCCTGATTGAATTTTGCCATGCCGGAAATTTCTCCCGATAATACTGTAAAAACTATGTCCGATACTAATTCATAAAGTATAAATTTCTAATTTCTTCTAATTTCAGAAAGCACTGAAATTAAAATTTTGAATAAGTTATGATCAAACAAAGTGATTTCAGATAAATTAAACGAAGTTGAATTATTACCAAAAAAAATAGCTGTTGACTTTTTTCAAATTTTGGAATCTTCAAATCTCTTATGATTTCAAAATTTTTGTTAAAAGTTGAACATTAGTCTTTTCAAATTATTTCTACAGCTATTATTAAATGAGACTGAGAATTTGCAAAATAAAGAAGAACCTGAAATCGGTTAATAATAAAATCGCATATTTGCGACAAAGTCAACTTCTTATCAGGGCTATTTAGAATAGCCATTGCGATCAAGGCAATGTATGAGTAAGCTGGCTTCGTTGCGCCAGATTTGCTCCGATTACTGCTGTGCTTGCTGCTCTGCCTATGAAGCAATTAATTAGTTGGAAATACAATTCATTACCTTTAAAAATTATGCATATTTTGCCTAAACAGATCTCTGAATTCGGATTTATAACTTTTTGCATCAAAAATGTTTAACAAAACCATTATTAGGAATATTTTAATAATTTCAATCCATTTAAGATCAAAATTTTGAAGTTATATCATTTTTGCTGTTAATCAGAGACAAATTTTGGTATCAACTGTTTATATGATACCTTGAGTTCTCTTCGCACTGTCCCTCATCATCTGAACTAAAATTAAATGATTCGTGATATATTTCCAGACTGGAACCAGGACGGTTGATATCTTTAACAAAATTAGTTGACCATTTTGGTGATATTGAACCTTCCTAAAAGTATGAAATGCATTTTTGCAAAAAAATCTTTCTGTATGAAAAAGAAGAAAATACATTCATAGGCTATCTTATTTTGCGAATTATATTGCAGCAATTTTAAATTCAATTTTTTCAAACGCAAATATGCTAACAATTTTGTGCGCAATAACATTTTTGAAAAAAATTTTCAGCAAAAAAGCTAGTTTTCTTAATTTTTTTTAATTTGTCCGTAAAATTTAAGTAAAACTTGAAAAAAGCTGCGCTAAATAATGAACGTAGCAGTAGCACATGAAGTTGCGCAATTTGAGAAAAAAGGATATGAGAATAATAATTAAGAGGAGGAAATACACAATTCAATTCAACAATGTTAAATGATCCATAATCAATAGGGTTGCTTTAATGTATTGGATAATCGTCGGTAAATGGCACCGTATTGCAGCTTGGCTTATTACGCTTATTGCGTAACAGCAATTGTTTGACACTGTCGAAGCGATTAGCCAACTGCTAATGTAACAAATGTACCTCAATGGCCTAATGTTTGAAATGGTACTTTTTTAGTAAGAATGAGGCATTTTACTGTGCGCATTGCAATTTCGATCAAAGACAAAAATAATAATACTGCTTCTTCTGAATTCAAAGATTCTCTTGAATTTCTTTTGACAACACTATCACTCTCCTCATTGATGCGAGGAAAATGATAGCTATCAATTATTTAAAGAGATTTTGGAGGTGTTTAAAATGCAATTGTTTCACAAAATTAAACTCAGAACTTCGTAATTTCATGAAGAAATAAAAAACTAGAGTTTCATACTACTAAACTATAAAAAGTAATTAAAGTGCATATTTTAAAAGAATTAGCTCTTTTTCTTTAAATTAACTCTCTTCAATCAAGAAAAGATTGTCGACTTAATCAGAAATCAGTGAGAAATTGTTTTAAATTCATTTTTGATAGTAAATCGATAAAATCTGTTATTCAAAATATAAGTCGTTTATATTAGGATATATTAGCATATATATATTGGCAAAACAATCACTTACGTCATTCATTTCTCAAAATGTTAATGTATTCTGAATTCAGAAAATGAACAGAGTAATGAAACACAAAAAATTGTATAGTAGGATTGAAATAATACATCAGCAAGTAATACAATTTATTAACTTATATGAACAATTAATAGTTATTTACCGATTTAGAAGATCTAATGATACCCATTTTTCCATCATTGTAAACATTTCTCTTGCTGATAATTCCTTCCTGATTCCCTGATTTCGTATATTTTGTGCTACAACCAGCCTGATCAGCCTAAAGATTATAAATGAGAAATATTAACATTGATATTAAAACAATTTAAAAATGTATTAAACGCCAATATACTTGTTAAAAGAGATGTAATAAGATTTTAAATAAGAAAAGGTTCCTACAACAATACGAAACTTATTTGTATGTTAAGCTTAAAAACGATATGTACGAATTTTCCATAAAGAAAATTGATAGGGAAAATTTTAAAAAATTTTAATTTATTTTATCACTTCAGAATCTTTTCAAATGATCGGTGTAGAAAAATATAAAACTGCTAAAGCAATACGGTAGCAAATTATTCAACACGAAAAGTATACATGCTGATTAAGAACAGCAATAAGTGGCTGCAAAAGCTGTTCAATAGCAGTTTGGAAAGCCATAAGCGCAAATCATCCATCATTGCAGCAATGAATGATTGGATAAAGGATCTATCACCGCCCAATCTTTTCATTCTTTCAATTTTCAACTAGCATCATTAATTTTAAATTCCAGAAAACTTGATATTTTTTAAAACTTTTTGGCTTAACTTCAAATTGTCGAATTTAAGAGCTGATAAAATTTTACGACTCTTCATTGAAGCTTGGTAATTTATCTAAATTTTGTTGTTAATTCATCTAAATTTTGTTGTTAATTCTTTTCGTCCTACAATCCGTGAAGTTATATAAAAAACTCGATTAATTGTTTAAAGGTTTGAGCCAGAGCAAAGACAAAGACAGGGACAGAAACGGAGGGAGAGAGAGAGGTGAGAATTATTTTCTTCAAATCTAATAGAACGATTTTAAATGTTTTCTAAATTCAAATTTTCTTTCCAAACATACATCGGTTTTATTGCTTATGTGCTCTTCCGGAAAAAAGCTGTTGTCGATTAAATGCGAACTTGAACTGTGAACAGGAGTTACATTATTAGTAGAGCTGTTTAATGAAGAACTTTCCGGTCGATCAGGACTTGCACTTGCCTGGAAATTTCGTAGGTTAATTAAAAAAGATAAAAGATCACTATTATTAAATGCAATCTTTAATTATAATCTGTAACAATCTTTAAGGATATTCATACAAGCAACTTTGAATAAACTAGTCCAATCGATATTTCTATAACTAATTTAGAGAATATCTTTATTATGTTTCAATATCCAAATATTTTGGAGTAAGTTAGGATTTAAATAAAAGCTTTACATACCCTCAAAACTTCACTGTTTGATTCTTTGCATTTATTTGTGCTACCAACACATGCGTCATTGCTGCAACTTTCATGAGGACGTTTGCGCCCTGTAGCACCATTGTTGTCCATTTGACCGCATAATATTGATTCCATCGAGAAACGCATCTTCGCACTCATGCATAGATATCAGAGGTCTAATTTTCATAGAACTTTAATTTAAAAAAAGTATTTGTGAGCTTGTAAAACAGTTTCCGACTAATGATTTCGAACGTTTTATTTTGTTATCTAAATTTTTGTGGAATTTTGGTTTTTTGATAAAATATGCAAAGTAGGAAGATATTTTGCAATAAAACAGAACGGACCATCTAACGATAACTACCAAATGGTTAATTGGTAATTTCAATAAATTGTACAATTAAATCAAAATAATGCACATAATAACGATTAGTAATGATTAATTGATAGTAATGATTAGTAGTAAAATGAATGATATTTTATTTCTAAACATATTGGCTTATTTTTGGATAGAATTAAATCAAACAGGCCAATTTATTCATTTTAACTACATCAGCCTAACCAATTTTGCTGTTTAATAAAATAACGTTGTTTGATATTCCTATAAAACAATTTTGGAAATTTATGACTTCCTTAATTACATTTTCAGAAGTTTAATTTTATGAATGTTTATTCATGTTGTTTACAACAATAAGGTTATTAGAGAAAGTGGTGTAACTATTATTACACAAATGATAAAAATAAGGAGCAACCTGTTAGTTAGAAATTTTGCGAGAAGAGGAAGAGGGGGTGAGGAAGAGAGAACGTGCTTCATCTTTGTGATTGGATTATTCTGATAAGGACAACTTTTTTTTTGTCTGCTTGTTTAAACAGTGCAAACAAACATGAATGGTCTTTTGTTGATTTATATCACGCCGCAAAAAAAGAGCAGAAAAAAGCAATCGAAGGTCAAAAAGAGTCTATTAGATAGTAAGCCATTTTCTACATCATTTATATTATTTTTAAACCTAAACAATTTTGCGGCAAATTTTTTTCCATTTCATTTAATAAAAATTTTACTCATCAAATTTAATCCACACTAATCATGTTAAACTATTTATGATTGTGTAAAAATAAAGGATATTCAGCATGCATACAACAGGATGATAGATGTACGACCTATTAAGCTAATTGCTATTGACCATAGCTTATTTACTTTCAATTCAAATCAATCTGATCGTGGTTATCAGTTTAAATAATCCAATAAATGAAGAAATTAACAGAAGAAAGTATATACACTTCTTAGTACGACAAATAATTTGAAATGAAATAAATGATATTTTTAAAAAACGTGATAAACTTTTTAAAAAAGATGATGATGATGACTTCTTTCTCAGCAATTACTTACTTATAAAAACAAAACCTTTGAAAATAATAAAGTTCATCTGAAAATAGAAAATTTTTCTGCGTTTTATGCATATTATTTTTAAAAGTAAATAAGCAAAGAGTCGTTTGAAAAAAGATACATCAATTTTTTAAAGCGTTTTCGATTGAAATTATTGTGAAATTTAGCTAAAATATATAGCTGTCTAAAATCAAGGGCAAAATGCTTATAAAGTAGTGCAGAAAAAAATTTCATACGATCTGTCCTTCCGATAATTTTATCTATCCCGGACGTAAATTAATACATTCCGTGAAAGCACTCTGCATTATTGATGGAGATTATATATCAAAAAATAATCAGAGATGGGAAAAAATCTTTTAGATTATCAATTATTGCAACACTTACGATTTCTCTAACAGATTCAAAACAGGATTATGTTTTACAAAATAAAACAGAACTAAGATCAGAAAAACAGAAAACGTTCCTTACAGTATTTCACGAACAATTATTAATTATCAATAATTAATTTTATGATTGAGCACAAAAGAATATTTATTTCTAATAGCATTTTTAAAAATTCAGCAAGCCTAACAAAAGACAACTTCCTAATTCAATTTGTTTTACAAAAAATAGAAAACAGCTGGAAAAAATAAGTAGCAACTAAATGAATTTTAGGGCATTCGTTGTCATCGGAAAAACGAAAGAAATCAAAAAATTGATGAATGTTTAATCGTATTTAAAATAATAAAAAAAATTTCGAATATTTTTCGGGCAAGCAAAAAGCAAAAGAAAAAAATAAAAAGACCAATACTAAATTAAATGCTATGAAGATTTCTGAATAATCTTATTCCTCAAAAATCAAAATTAAACATTTTCTCATAACTCTGTCATCATATATATATATATATATATATATATGCAATCATTGAACTTTAAACTATCAAAGAATTTATTTGCCAGAGGTATTTCTGAACCATAATCTTCAAATATAAGGCTCTACAAATTGCTGCTCTGATTGGAATCTAAAATAACCAATGTTTTATATGCTGTCGCCTATATCTTCTTATCGTTAGCAATTGTCCTTATCAATATCAATCAATATTGCCATAAAAATAAATGTATCCCCTCCCCTAACTCCTTCCTCCTCCCCGGCTTCCGCCGAACGGACGAATCTTCTCAAGCACTTTTTTCGCTCGAAAATATTTATGGAAGCATAGAAAACATGTACGGTTATAAAATTAACAACCCCAAAGTTGATACAATTGCATGTCTTAATAACATATATACACACATACACATACATATATGTATACATACACATCCACATACACACATACACACGACATGGTTTACATTTTGACAGCCAGCCAGCATGCCTTGTCATAGAGAAGTGGGCGTTTACTTTGATAGCAAAGCTCCGCCCCTTATTATGATTGGTTTAGAGGGAAATTTGACTATTATTGAATTTATTATATTATTCGTTACGCTGAGATCATATTACAATGGAGTAAGCATTGGGATGGATTTATTGGTGAAATGAAGCGGAAAAGATAAAAGCGCTAGGCGACATTTTATACAGCTAACGTAGAACGTAACGTAACGCAATCACGCATTACTTTTCTATACTGATTACTTTAATTCCAAATATGTATATCGATATGTTATCTTTCAAATAGCTTGAGTGGAATAAATATGGAATAATGATTAGTTTAGTTTCACGCACGTTGAAAATTGAAATTATTTTTGATATTAATGTCAGCGTATCAGTAACGCGCTAAAAAAAAAGAAATAGCTATGATGTTGTTTATCCAATCTGGATTGGATGACTCATTGTATTACAGTAATTTCTTCATGGATAAGAGAGACAGTAATTGTCATTATGAAAGTATTCCGTTTATCTTTGATATTATAATTATTGTTTAATACATGACATTATCAGCATATCAGGGATGTATTTTAGCGATAACTCATCCTGTCGTCATTATAAAATGCCTCGTACAAAGAGATGGAATTGATAATGCTTTCAAATTAAGTAATTTTAATTATTTTTCATTACAATTTATAATAAATTAAATTTCATAATATTTTGAACAAAATACTAAACTTAATTCTATACTGTAAGCATTTTCATGCGTAAGTTTTATTTACAAGCAGTAAATGGAATTTATTGTATACAATATTATACATATGGTATTAATTATTTTATTTATGCAATTATTTGTACGATGCTAAATATGATCAGATATACTGTAAGACAAATAACAGATATTTGCCGAAATACTAGAAGTGATTGAAAGATCTGTTTTCTTATCTCATTTTTTTGTCTCGAATCGATTTAATTTCATTTATTATCACTCATTCCATTTAGCAAATTATAGTTTTTACTTTAATTTTTGATAAATGTACGCGTGAGAATGCAATATATTAAGATGAAAGATGGAATATATCAAATATTATGCAAATAAAGTCATAATCAATTAAAACGATATTACATTGACCTTTTTTGCAAAAAGGATGGTTGAAATTTAATAGAGACATTGTGAAAAGGATGGGTTTAATTTTGGTTCCTTTAACCCTAATTTTACTTTTGTCAGTAGAGCATTTCGAATTTTTAAGTTCAAAATTACAATGTGATACAATATACGTTATATTAGATTATTATATAATATTATTTTAGATATAGAACAGATAAAAGATATAATTCTGATCCCAAATAATATGAATATTTTTAATTATTCATTCAAAAAATCTGTAAATATTAAAAAATTTCGTGGAAACGATGGAAGGATCTTGTTATTAGCTAAGTTGACATTTTATATAATGGAATACTACAAAGATAGCAACTCAAAGTTTTTAATGTTAATCAAAATCGAAAAAAATTTTGATGATTTCGACCGCAAAAGATTAAACTTGAAAAATTCCTGCATCGAAATATTAATATATTTCACTCATTTTAACAGGATAAGCTTAATTTGATCACCCAATATTAGTGTGACTGGTTTGAGGGGCGCGCACGATCAATCTCCTCTTTAAATGCTCTAATACTAATTTGTCCCGATATCCGTCTTTCGCCTTATCTCAACTGTTCTTCATTAATCATTAGATACCGACATGTACCCACTCATCCACCCACCCATCCACCACGAATACATGCGAAGAGATTAACACAGATATTTATACAAATGGTACCACTAATGTCCAGTCGGAAATGCTAATACCATTTCAAGTAAATGTATTATGTATACATATATTTATATTTATCTATCATATATATATATATATATATATCCTTCTATCTGACCATTTCTCTTTACCCGATCCGGTAACAAAAGAAAAGTAGCTTCCGACTCTTCCCACGCGATCGGAGCAGACACTCTGACGCTTAGCTTGAACGTAATTAATTTAAATTTAGTCAAATTACCAACTCAATTATCGATGAGGAAATTTAACGGTAATTAAACAAATCGTTTCCAACAAAGATCGCAAAATGGAGTGTTTCAAAAGAGTGCTTAAAATTTCGGATATCATTTTGATTTCTGGGAAGTTAAAAAAATTTGAAACATAAAAATATGTGAAAGCTTCTTTAAGCAGTTACTAAAACAGCTTCATTTTTATCTTTGATACATTATATGTCTTTTTTTCTCGAAACCTTTATAGGAAATTCGGGAAATATCAAATTAGAATTGTTAACATATATAAATAAAATCAATGATTGAAGAATTCAGCAAATTAAATGAAACAAAAAATAGAAGATAAAATTCATAAAATATCTTTTTGATGTAAAATT